TGAGCTGTCGATGGCTTCCGCCACTTCTGTAGCTGCGGCCGTAGCTCCAGTCGACACCGCTGAGGACATCGAACAGCCGGATCCAGATCAAGCACCCGAGCTTGCCGCCAGGATGTCCGCTCACACCCGGCAGAAGCAGGGCAAATCCCACCAGCCGGCAGCCCCATGCTCCTTCTGTGGGCGCGCTGCACACACCAAGGGTCGACAAGGCTGTCCGGCGCACGACAAATTCTGCACCCAGTGCGGTAAGAAAGGCCACTTCAGCACTGTGTGTCGAAGCAAGACAACGCTCAGCTCGGTGCGCGTTGAGCCTAACGTCGTAGCTGGTGTCGGGCGCGGACTTCCTCGCCTGCAGCTCACTGTGATTCACCCCGGCAGCCGCAAGTCGCGTGTTCTCAGCGCCATCGCCGACACCGGTGCTGAAGTCTCCGTCATGGGTCGCTCACATCTAACACAGCTGGGACTCAGCCCCAAACACTTAAAGAAGACGCCAAGACGTCTGCAGCATGCAGCCGGTGGTGGTCTGCAAGTGCTTGGCACCATCCGGATGCGGCTTTGCCTTCAAGACAGGCAAATCACAGAAGACATATTTGTGGTAGCGGGCGTCAGTGACATGTTCCTCTCGCTATCAGCATGTAGGAATCTGAGCATCGTACATGCCGACTTTCCGTGTCACCAGATCGGCGCCATCTCTGGCGCTGATCATCCTCCTGAAGGCGCCGACATGACCACAGACAGGCCCCACCACCTGCCTGATCGTCCAAACCAGCTCCCATTTCCACCCACGGAGGGAAACATACCAAAGCTGGAGGCCTGGCTGAAGGAGCACTTCTCGGACAGCACCTTCAACACCACGTGTCAGCCGCTCCCGGCCATGTCGGGGCCGCCACACCACATCCACCTGAAGGATGGAGCTGAGCCGTTCGTCGCTCACACACCCATTCCAATTCCACATCACTGGAAGAAAGAGGTCAAACGTCAGCTGGATGACGATGTCGCCAGGGGTATCCTGAGACCAGTTCCTGCCGGAGAGCCCTCGGAGTGGTGCTTCAGGATGGTCACTGTACCGAAAAAGGACGGCAAACCGAGGAGAACGGTGGATTTCCAGCCCGGTAACAAAGCATGTCTCCGCGAGACTCACCATACCCCTCCACCATTCGACATGGTAAGCAGCATCCCCCCAAAAAGCTACAAGACGGTTCTAGACGCCTTTAATGGGTATCACCAAGTGATGCTAGACGAGGAAAGTCGCAAACTGACAACCTTCATCACTGAGTACGGCCGATATCAGTATCTGCGTACACCGCAGGGTCACTGTTCAGCTGGTGACGCCTACACAAAAAGATATGATGACATAGTCGCTGGTGTGGAAAGACAGTGTAAATGCATCGACGACACTCTGCTGTACGATGCAGGTATCAAACAAGCGTTCTTCCACACATTCGACTACCTCACGCTGTGTGGCAGAAACGGTGTGACATTGAACCCCGACAAGTTCAAGTTCTGTCGTCGTGATGTCGAGTTCGTCGGCTATTTCCTAGGATGGGAAGACTACAAGCCAACAGGCGACAAGCTGTCAGCCATAAAGAACTTCCCTATGCCGGAGCAGCCATCCATCACAGACATCAGATCCTGGTTTGGGCTGGTGAACCAGCTCGCGCCGTTCATGGCCGTCTCACCCCTGATGGAACCATTCAGAGACCTTCTGAAGCCTGGAGCCTCCAAGAAAGTCTACTGGGATCAGAATCTCCAGACGATCTTGAACAAAACCAAAGAAGCCATATGCAGTATGGCGGCAAATGGACTCGCCTACTTCGACCGGTCCCGGCCAACCGCCGTGGTGACCGACTGGTCCAGAAATGGAATTGGCTTCGTGATCCTCCAGCAGCACTGCAGCTGTGCCAAAGATCAAGCGCCGTTCTGCTGTACAGGGGGCTGGAAGCTGGCCCTCTGTGGTAGCCGCCATCTGTCTTCGGCGGAATCAAACTACTCAGCGGTGGAAGGCGAGGCACTGGCCGTGGCGTGGTGCTTCAAGAAGGCCAGGCTGTTCCTCCTCGGTAATCCGGGCTTCCTTCTTCTCGTGGACCACCGGCCGCTGGTGAAAATCCTTGGCAACAGAGCCCTCGGTGACATATCAAACCCAAGGCTGCTTCGTCTCAAGGAGAAGACGCTGCTGTTCGACTATCGGATCAAGCACTTGCCTGGGAAGCAGAATCTGGCCGCAGACACGCTCTCGAGGTACCCAGTCGGCGCTCTAGAACCAGACAAGGATGACACGGACGTTAGTGAGGATCTGGAGGCCCTGGGCGCCATTGTGGCAGCATTAACGGCCACCTCAGAAGACGTCATAGCCATGGATCCCCAGCATGTCAAAGACGCTGCGCAGTCTGACGAGCAGTATCAGCTGCTGTCTCAGAAGGTATCGTCAGACAGTTTCGCCAATACTCGGGCCCAAGAAGACCCACTAGTGCGAGACTTCTACAATGTCCGAGACCGTCTGTGCATAGCCGACGACCTTTTGATGTACGGCGTAGACGAAAAGGACCTGAGACTGGTTATTCCCAGGAACCTCCGCCGTCAGATCATCAAAAACCTGCACTCTGCGCATCAAGGCTCATCTTCCATGCTGGCACGAGCTAGACAGGTTGTTTACTGGCCCGGCATGGAACATGACGTCCAAGACCATGCCCGGCACTGTGAGCAGTGCCGTCGCCACGCGCCGTCTCAGCAAAGAGAACCACTGCTTCCCTCCCCAGCCCCAGACTACCCGTTCCAGCAAGTGGTCGCCGACATGTTTGAGCTCAACGGAAACATGTACCTGAGCTACGCTGACCGGCTGACAGGCTGGCTGGAAGTTCACCATTTTCGCTCAGCTGTGACGTCAGAAGCGCTCTGCGGCGTATTCCGCCAGCTGTTCCACAGATGGGGCGCACCTCAAGAGCTGTCGTCTGATGGCGGACCCAACCTGTCAGGGCGGCCCTTCCAGCTGTTCCTGCGCAGGTGGGGCGTCCGGTGGCGCGTCTCGTCAGCCCACTTCCCTCAGTCGAACGGCCGAGCTGAGGCCGCCGTTAAGACAGCCAAGCGCATCATACGCGAACACACAGGAAGAGGAGGTCATGTCAACACGGATGAGGCAGCACAGGCGCTGCTGATGTACAGAAATACGCCGCTACGAGACGGCGGTCGGTCCCCGGCACAGCTGGCGCTGGGCAGGCACCTCCGCGACAGCATCCCGTCACCGTCACAGCGGTACAAGCTGAGCCCCGAGTGGTGCCGGGATCTCCGCCGACGGGAGCTCTCCATGGTCACCCGCAGCGAGAAAAGCAAGGCCGCTTATGATGTCGGCACGAAGGAGCTCTCCGAAATGTCGGTCGGCGACAGCGTCCTCTGTCAGGACGCCAGAACCAAAGCCTGGGACCGCCGAGGTGTCATCGTAGAAAAGTCTCCGTTCCGAAAGTACTTGGTCAAGATGCAGGGCACTGGCCGGGTGACGATCCGTAATCGGCGTCACCTGAAACTAGACTTACAGAAGTAATGTGCTCGTGAAGTCGGCGTGACTATCCGACTTGGAGGGGGGCTGTAGGGGTGCTCAACATCCTAGACCACGTGCTAATGTGCACGAGTCTTTTCGCTAGAAAATTGATGTGTCTGTTTTGGTCGGGATAAAAAATATACTTTTGCTCGCTCTCGTATACGTTACGATATCTCCCTTACAGGCCGTCCCAGCATAGTGACTCTGAGCGCACCGGCCAAGTTGCCCCGCTAGTCCCGGCCAAATAACCCCACGTTGCCATTCTGAAAATTTTTGTTACGGAGCGAGCGAAGCGAGCGTAGTCTTTCCTTAGATTAACGGAAATTTCTGAGTATGAGCGGCCGGCCGGCCGTGGTCACGCTTTTGCGAGGCTTATATCTCAGCAACCACTTGACCGATTTACACGCGGTAATTTTTGTAGGGTAGCTTCATTCCTTCTACCAAGTATTGGACTATTCCTGATGCATGTGGGTGACCCCTTATGCACGTGCCACGTGCAAAACGAAGAGATGTCCGTTTTGTAATTGTTGCAATATCTCGGTAACTACTTGGCCGATTGCGCTGAAAGTTGGCATGTAGGTAGGCACCCACTAGGCACTGCATATCCATGTGCCAGAATTGGGGCGCTGCTGCACGTGCGCACGTGCAGGGGTCGTTTCCAGATCTCGAGAACGGCTCGACCGATTGCGCTCAAATTTGGTACACAGTTAGGGACCGGCTAGTAGGGTGCCGTGCACAAGTCAGCTGGGACCCACTCTGCACGTGCGCACGTGCAGGGTGCCGCTTCCAGATCTCGAGAACGGCTGGGCCGATTGTGCCCAAATTTGGCACATCGCTAGAGACCGGTTAGTAGGGTGCCGTGCACTAGTCAGTTGGAGGTACCCCTCGCAATTTCGCACGTGCAAGGCCCACCCTGTCGCTCGCTCCGTTAGTCGCCCCAAAAGGCGTTATACTGGTCTATAAAGTCGTCATGGCTGTACAGAACTAGCTGAAATTGCTCTTGGAACCGCTGAACACCCTCAAAAAATGGCACTATAATGTTGGAATTCGTTTACAGCCCAAATACTACATGTTATACAAATTTTTAAACGGAAGTAAAAGTTACCATTTTCTAACGTAATTCACCTTTTATTAATTTTGAATAAAACTAAGAGGGGGAAAGTTTTGACATTTGTTCTCGAGTTAGTTTTGCCGATGACAAATGAATAGAGACTAAAGTTATTTCATTTACTTTTATCAGCTTTCGTACAGGTGGGGGCGGCCAATTTACACCACCGGCCAAATTACCCCACTCTCCCCTAGCTATGACACTGACGTTTATGATGTGGCCGTGACGTGACGGGCCGGCACATCAAGACACCCACCACCCTCGCCTCACCCATCGGAGTTAGAGACTAGAGAGGTCAGCGCCGTGTGAACCAGATGGTCTCTGGGAAATACAGTGGCCAAACAGGCCGTCACAAGCGCATTGTGTGGTATGCTCAGAAACGTGTATTGCACTAACGTGATTATGAACACAGGCGTCGTGCGGAAAAACATTAAACTCATATGAAATCATTATTACCTTTAATTATCATTAACGAAATCGACATAAAACATGCGCTTCGACTACGTCCTTCAATGTTGACATATGCTTCAGATGTCAATATCGTTTTCTATGCAACTAAATTGAGATCCATGAATTACATAATAAACCCTTAGCTCAATTGCTCTAACCAAGGTACACTTTGTCTGCTATTGCATTTCAAATAAAGCCCTAAGAACAAAACAATTGATAAGGGGCTGCTCAATACCAACGCCTTCTTTCAACCTCGCGTAAGGCATGTGCTGAATGCGCAATGTACGATATGTTCGTCTCTCACTAACCGCTGAGTGGCTTTTGTAGGCGAGCCCCAGACTACAGTGACACACCTAACCAGCTAAGTATCCGACCACTCCTGGCCTGCGGATCAGTTGGAGGCTGCTCCATATTCTCGACCCAGCGGCCCACTCCCGCACTGAATCCACTGGCGCTGTCCGAAGCTGACCAGTGATCAGTCGCAGCCGCCGAGCGGGTCTGGTAGGGCCTCCCGCTGCTTACGACTGACGGCGGAGCGCGGCCGGGATCCTGGGTCGGGAGACCTTCGGAGGCCGGCCGGCCTGCGGCGACGGACGGCGCCGCTTCGGCCGCTGGGCGCGCCGCTCTGCCTTCTCTGTAACGTGGGCGGCGTCAGTACGCATGGATGGGTGATGGAGCCTACGCTCACAGTTCATAGTCCAGCCCAGACTCACAGCCAACCTACAGTTAAGTCAGCGTCCACACTCCGCAGCTCAAAGTTCAGCTAGCCTACATGGCCAGCACGTAGTTGGTCGATCATCACACGCATGATAGGCGCGACGCTTCAGCTGTTAGACCGGCTTCGCAAATCGGCTCTCGAAAAACGTTTGCATAACAACTAGATACTCAGCCCTGCGCGGTGTGGCACGCACTCTAAGCCTGTAATGTAAAAATTATGCAATGAAAAGCAAAAGTGACCAAACCAGTCACGGTACTGTTGCTTTCAGCGGTACTTCATAGTTCGTTGTCGCACGTGTTAGGATAGTTGTTCAGACGCCCTGCTAACCTTTTCTGTCGTCAGCGGAGGCCGCGGCGGGACAGGTGATGGTCAGCTCCCTGTTCACACAGCCAGCGAAGGCCCCGGCGGAGGCATCGGTCGAAGAGCACGCCTCGACAGCTCCCAGCAACGCCTCCTTCACCTACAGACAAGGCTCTGGCGTGTTACCGTCGGAGCAGCATTCATGTGGAGCAACGGGACTTAGCTCGGATGAATCCGTTATGCATGACCGCCATGTTTTTCAATATGCATAGGGTTATGACTCGGGACACGCGGTTGCAGAATGGCGGCTGATGAACGTTCAGCGGCAATGTAAGCTGTAGAGGCTAGAAGGCGATCACATTCAACAGGCATCCAACAATCAACTGGCTAGAACGCGATCAGTTACGGACGCATACCTTGGGCGTGGCCTCGGCGGCCGAGAGGAGCTTCTTGACCTCGGCGACGTTGACGCTGTCGTCCTCGTTCAGCAGTCCCATGGCGCCGAAGGTGCACTGGTCGGCCTCCTGGAGCGCCGCCCCTGCCGCCTTCAGCGCCTCGTCCAGCGGGCCCACCAGCGCCTCCAGCTTGGCCTTGTCGTCCTGCATGTCGCCGTCCCGCGGCCCCTTCCTCTGTCCCGGACCACCCTTCCGCCGCCCGGAGGAGCCGCCTGCGCGGAGAGGTGGGGGTTAGCCGGGGTATCGCGGGGACCACCGCCGCTGCAAGGGCTGGCTGGATTAGACATGGCTATAGCTAGCTTTACCGTGCCCCGCCTCCTGAGCTAAATTAAGTACTCTAAATTACATGACTGCTGATGAAATGCATGCCGCCATTATTCGCTTTGCCTAGTCTAGTTCTCGCTTCTGTCTCCTACCTTTCGTCCCCTCATCCGAGCTCGCTTCGCTGTCTTCAGCCGAGGCGTCATTTGCATCGGATTCAGTATCGTCCGCCTCCTCAGAGGCCTTACCCTTCTTCCCCTTCTTTCCCGAGCTTCCTGAAAGAGAACATGAACAATACTTACATGTGACAATTGAAAAAAGGGGGCTGCAGCTTTTCAACCAATTCAGGAACTGTCCATTAACCCGCGCCCAAGTGTGTGGGGGTGTTTGAGCACCCCCCCTGCGGTTTTTTTGGTATACCTTACCGGGCATCCTTTCCCCACCTTCCCTGAAAATTTTAGACCCAGATCACCTCAGGTCAGGTCACCAGGTCAATCGAAGTGACCCAACCTCCAAAAAACTTTGGGGTACAGCCACGGCCATAGTGGTTGACAGATGGTTTTGAAGCTTTCAGGACTTCAATAACTCATTGGTACCTACTGTGTAAAACACTGATTTGTATGTCTGTGTGTGTATACTGATGTGTGCACCGATTATTTTTGGGTCCATATTACATGAAATAATGATCTGAGAGGCTTTTACCAAAAATGCAGTCAAAAAACTTCACAAAAAGTAAATTCAGCTTGCCTAAAACGCAAATATCTTACATGACCTAGGTTGACCTTGACCCTGACCTTGACCCCTGTACATCGTCGAACAACATGTTCCATGATAGGTGGGAGGTAAGACTGGCAAAAAAGGCCGAAATCAGGGTGTCAAAAGCTCACAAGGCCCATGGCAAACGCAAGATGTTTGGGGGGTGGCAACCACCCCCCCCCCCATGTGCGGGCGAGGGTTAAGTAGGTACCGAGCGAAGCAGCTCGGTAACGTATAGGGTCCAGCTCACTGCAGCCAAAGAAGCCAGAGACGAGTATAGACGGGAGGCTGACCGCGATTGGACCCGACCCCCACCAAACACGATTTGGCAGCACTGTAAGGACGCCTGCTGGGCGTGAAGTTTTCCCTTCACCATAGGGTTTACACACAAACTGGTCAAAGTTTGAGCCAGGATATACTAGTCTAAAAATGCAAAAAACGAACAAATTTTGGCATCAATAGATTCAGCATTTCATCGTGTGCCTCAAACCGTCCATCATTTGGCCTCAAAGAAGGTAAAAATTGTTCAAAATCGAAGTTGAAAAGATGCTTTCTGAGCACATAATCTGGTAGCAATCACGTGACCTGCTATATGCAGCTTATCGATAATTTACAAACATAATTATTAATATGCTGCTTTAAACAACATTAATCATACATTTTGAGCTTTCAGTACTTTAAATAAGGTCAAAACATCGCAAAACACAAAAGTTAATACAATAGTCACGTGGGTGTCAGGAAATGTCACAGGTGCGTCAAATTTGTGACTTGGGCTTTACTTTCAAACATCGGATCTACCTGTTTCTTATAGGTATCTTGATTGGACCTTGATTGGCCCGAGGACGGATTGTGGTGTCAGCGGACATGATAAAGGTGTTGGTGATATCGATCATCAACGTGAAGCCGTGTTACTTCGTCCCTAGACTGCAAGTTTTTAACGTAACCTTTAGAGTGGTGATGCCGGAGACAGAACCGCAACACCAGAAAGGCGCTGCCAGAGTATATAGAACACCGGCGCTGCAAGGTGTTGAACGAGGGACTGGCCGGACGCGGCACTGAAGAGGTCAGCAACAGCTACTGGCCATTTTTGCAAGGAGGTCGTGACAAAAAAAAAACACACACACACACATCACGATATTTGCTGACATCTTTGTGGGGCAAAACAAGTCTTGGGCTCTTTCGGCCCTCATGAAAAAAGCCATTCATTCGAATCACCTCGCCCTTCAGACCCTGACGCTCAAATTATTCGAGCCAGGACACACCAGCATGAGCACCGATGCTCTGCACCGCCAGACCACAGGCCCTAAAACATAAGGTAGGACGAAGTTTTCTACCAAAAATGTTCTAGAATAGCGCACGAGTCCAAGCTATTTCCGTCGTTTCTTTACAATTATGTCACAAATAGGCTTTTTCTGTAGTTAAGTAATATATCGAAGTTAAGCAACCAGTTTCTAAAAATTCAATAAGCAAACACTTATTTTAAATGTATAAGCCTAGCTTATATAGTCCAACTCTAGTTGAATAATTAAGAAGCTACTAAATTTTCCAGATGTTATACATATTACGTACTTAAGACAAATACGTTGCTAGGGCGTTGCTAAGGACTCTTTCGCATTTTTTGATGCTTGGTTTTTGTTACGAGGTGAGGGAAATAAATTAGGCTTTAATTTTTTCTGGTTTTCTAGGACTAGAGGTGTCAATCTGATACCAACTTTTTAGTATACCGATACCAAACCGATACCAACTTGGTATTTGGTATTTCAAGGCGAATGTATTTGGTATTTTGTTGGTATTATGAATCCTCTCTTTTGTATAAGAGCCCGAGAACTTGGTAAAATGTTGGTATTTCCCTCATATTCCCAAGTTGGTTCGGTTTCGGTATTTTTTTCCATGTGTATTGTTGGTATTTGGTTTGGTATCGGTATCATGATTTTCCGTAACTGACATCACTATCTAGGACCGTCTTAATTATTTAACTTGACATACTTTTCTTGCTTCATTATCCAAAGCTTTTTTAATTATTGGTGAATTCCATCGTGGAAATAAAAGGGCGAACAGGCCACAGGGCTGCACAGTGCACATGCAAGTCGACTGATAGTGAAATAAAAGGTAGAAGTGTCTGTTCCATTAGAAATTTAATGTGATACAATGGAACATGAAGCAACAGAGGATCAGACGCAAGAACCACCAAGTAAGAAGTAAGAACCCAGAACCAGCAAACGCCATGCAATCAAGAGCAGCCGTGTTAACGTTTTAATAGCTTTCAGAAAACCTTGGAAGACGCCAGACGGTGAACAAACAAGAGATCTTAGCAGACCAGTAGTTACTTGATAACGAGAGCCGCCAGGGGAAAATCAGCAATTCTTAAATGGCAACCCATTTCAACATCCATCTAGCAATGATTGTGCCAGAGAGGCACAATCACTGTGTTTTGTATCTATATCCACTGCTAAAAATACGTAAATAAATATAAAAACTAAAACAATGCGTCTTTTTCTACTGAAAGCAAGTCCTAGTGGCACGGGATGAATAACAGGTATCCCAATGAATTGCGATCTATTCATTCAATGCGTAGGTAATTCAGGGCATCGAGGCAACACCCTTACTGCATGGTACTGCGGATCGTTGACGGGTTCTGGATGACTCCGACTCTGACTCAGACTTTCAAAAATGAACTCTGACTTCGATTTCAAATGTCGGATCTGACTGACTCCGACTCCACAGCCCTAGCAGGTCTGCGGAGGCAATGGATTTTTTTTTACTCCGACTCTGACTCTGGCTTTAAAAATCGACTGACTCTGACTCTGGTCAGAACTGTCGACTCCGACCGACTACAGCTCCGACAACAGAACCCTAGTAGGTCTGAGGAGGGGTAGAATTTCGGTGACTGACTCTCCAGCTTTCAAAATCGACTCTGACTCCGACTCGACGACTCAGGTCAGAAATGTCAACTCCGACCGACTTCATGACTCCGACTCCAGAGCCCTACTGCCAGCCATCACGCCAGGGAGCTGCAAATCGTATGCTCCGTGGCGGTTTATGGCATTAAGTAGACAATGCGGCTGAATCGCACTATGAAACACCCTTATTGGCTCCAAGAACCGCGAAAGTTAGCGCATCACCACTGGGAAATGTGACAAGTTATCGATTAATTGGCCCTGGACTTGGTTAAATAACATGTTGATGATCATATTAGCACACATTTGCATTATCATCTATCTCAAGGCTGCCCTTAAGGCGGCTCTAAACTATGGCAACTTTCCCTATCTTCAACATGTAAATGCCCTCGGGCATCCTCGTGGTGACATAGGCATGGGAGTGCCAGGTTGGTAGGAACTAGAATTCGACGCCCCCTGCACCAGACCAACAGGCAGCTGGAGAAGAGGTCGGTGTTGGACTTTGAAGACTAGATCAAGGCGGTCGATCGGGCGAACCTGCGAGGTATGGAACTTCGCACAATCCTCCAACTGGAAGAAGGCATGAATCGCCAAAATCTGTGTCTTTCGCAGACCGACGAGAGACCGTACCTTGCGCAGATGAGAGTGGTGCAGTTCAGACAAGGTGACGAGCGCCTGTTCATCGAGTACGGACACAGAGAACAGCACTGGAAGGCATACCAAATCTTCGAGCAGCCGTTCGACTGTCGGAGAGCCCAAATGCACGGACCAGCACAACCGCCACCCACACAGGCAAACTTCAGGAGATCCTCAAGACTCTGGGGCCATACATACATGGCATGGCACCCATGGCACGAAAAAAGAGGATCTACTAGGACAACCTCGCAAAGGTTGCGAGAACGCCATAATACCAGGTTGGAAAAAGGAGCGAGAGTGACCCTCAAGGGAAGAAGCGGCGGACCGTATGCGGAAGCACATCTGCTCCGTCTTCTACCAGGAAGATAAGCACCGAATTGTTTATGGTCGTGCTGCTCCAAATGCTGCGGCTCCTACAAGGTTGTGTGCAATGTGTTTGGCTAATCAACTGAAATAGCTGGCGTTTGATGCATGCGGCGTACTCACAAGAATGAATCTATCTGGCTGCATGCTGGCATTGTGATGTGAGTTACCCGCGCTCAGCGGCGTGAAAATATTAAGATCTATCAAATATAATTCCATAAAACTGAACTGTATTTTGGTCTTTTTAGACACCTTCACTTTGTGTCGCCAGTCCAGTGCAGTGGCGCGGGAACCGGGGGGGCTAGCGGGGGCTGAGCCCCTCCAACTTTTCGGCTGGGGGGGGGGGGGGCTCGTAATGTATTCGAGTCCCCCTCCCCAGCTGGAGGAATCGAAATCGGGAATCTACAAACATAATTCCATGGATTCATACATAGGCGCGGGAACCGGGGGAGGGGCAGTGGGGGAAGCTTGCCCCAACAACTTTGCGGCCGTGGGGGCGATGCCCCACAACTTTTCATGAGGCCAAGAACCGTTGGGCAGCTTGTCCTCCCCAAATTAGGGGTTGTGGGTCACAAAGGAAAGCACATAGAAAGCATGTAAGTGAACAATTCTCTTCTTTCACTGGCTCGGCAACTCATTTGGCAGAGTAAAACCTTTATTCCAGGTTGCCAAGTAGTTTCTTCACTCAGCTGAGACGGAATACCTCACTTTTTGCATATATTTTCGTTTTTTTTTTTCGTTGAAAAGGCCAAGGTCTGAAAAATAAGTAGCCTAAAACCGGTGAGAAAACTAGATTTGGAGGTATTAGAGATGGTAAGTTGATCTCTATTGAACAAGTTCCCGCGCCACTGCGCCAGTCAGTTTGTCGTTCAGTCAGCTCGCCAATGCCAAAATACCGCATCGACCTTTAAAACGAGCTACAGTGTTTTGGCTTCTCCAGACTGTCTAAAAAGGATCCATAAACCAGTCCAAACCATGATATCAAATATTAATAATAATTAATGGGTAGTAATATTTAGTGCGAAAATTAAATAGAAATGATTTCATTATATTTGTAAATAAATGATTTCATATTTGATTTCATTATTATTCACAAATACTGTTCTTTTATTTATATTAACAGTAATGCAGAAGTATTTGTCATTTTATATACCAATACATTAATCACTCACCTAGTACCTGCTCGTTCATCAATTTTGTTAATCAATCAAATCCTATCATGGTTTGCCTAATGGCCACCCACACTGGAACAAGTTTGATAGCAGAATCTACTGGACTATTTTATTTGTCAAAAACTGAACAAAATATCTAGGTAAAACCAATGGTATGTAAATACTATTACATTCCCAATCATCTTTAAGATGAATCTGAATATGATGTCTGACCTGTCTTTTCGACACTGGCGTCAGCTTCACTGTTACCGGTCGAGCTGTCCGCCTCGGACTCGGCTTCGTCCGCCGGCTTCGGCCCTTTTCCCTTTTTCGGCGAGCGACCTGAAACGAGTTTATAAAAGATAATAAATAATTCAAGGTCACACTAGATTTGAGTCGTACATAAAGCACAGTTTCAAGGATATCGAGATCGAGATAATTGGAACATGACCTTCAAAGCGACCGGAAGTAGGTATAATTTGATCCCACCCCCAAAAATGTATCGACGCTCGTTCAGTCACCACTCACCAGCCTTCTTAGGTGCAATGGAAGTGCGCGCGAACACACACACGCCATGCGCATCAACCAAGTCTGAATACTTTTGGACAAGATAACCACGTCAGGCATCGCTGTGGTGGGAGCCAGTGGCGGATCCAGGATTTTCACTGGGGAGGGGCTGCAGGTCATAATTGGGCGCCACGCCCCGGATGGGCGCCATAGTCGCATCGTATTGGCGCTGAAATATTGGCGCCCAGTGGCCCTGACAAGAGGCGCCCAGGATCAGTATGTACAGTGACACCACACGATTGGAAATATCGGTGCGGAGCGTACTGAAACGACGTTATTCGACTGATTTTTGCATCCTAGTCCTAGTATGCGGCACTCCGATGAGTTGCGAATTGAAAATTGGCGCCACTGCGCCTTCGGCGCAGTGGCGCCAGTTTTCCTTGGGTGGGGGCTGCCAGCCCCCGCAGTCCCCCCCCCCTGGATCCGCCACTGATGTTTGCATCTATTGGAGCGTCCGGTGCATAAACACTCACGGTCGTCAAGTTAGATGTAAGTGAATCCTAATCTATAATCTAAGATTCGGAATCAGGTGAGCCCCTACGATTTGGACCAAACTTGGTCAGTGGATAGTACGTAACGTCCTGATTACGATGCACCCAAAATCTAAGCTCGGCCCGCCATATTTACGAAGTTACGGATGTTTGAATTTCAAGGTCATTCGGGAGAGCCCCTACGATTTCCGTCAAAATTTGTGTACGGACACTCTAGATGCTCCTCATTACGAATATCACAAAATTTAAGCTCGGCCCGCCATATTTACGAAGTTACGGAGGTTTGAATTTCAAGGTCATTTGGGTGAGCCCCTGCGATTTCCGTCAAAATTGGTATACGGACATATTACATCCTCCTCATTACAAATATCATAAAAGTTAAGCTCGGCCCGCCATATTTTTCAAGTTACGGAGTCACAAAGTTACGGAATTTCAAGGTCATTCGGAGAGCCCCTCCGATTTTCGTCAAAGTTTGTATGCGGACACATTACATGCTCCTCATTACGAATATCGTAAAAGCTAAGCTCGGCCCGCACTATTTCAAAAGTTAGAGATGTTTGAATTTCAGTGAGTTTCAAACGTCAGTAACTTTTGAAATAGTGCGGGCCGAGCTTAGCTTTTACCATATTCGTAATGAGGAGCATGTAATGTGTCCGCATACAAATTTTGACGAAAATCGGAGGGGCTCTCCGAATGACCTTGAAATTCCGTAATTTTGTGACTCCGTAACTTGAAAAATATGGCGGGCCGAGCTTAACTTTTATGATATTTGTAATGAGGAGGATGTAATATGTCCGTATACCAATTTTGACGGAAATCGCAGGGGCTCACCCAAATGACCTTGAAATTCAAACCTCCGTAACTTCGTAAATATGGCGGGCCGAGCTTAAATTTTGTGATATTCGTAATGAGGAGCATCTAGAGTGTCCGTACACAAATTTTGACGGAAATCGCAGGGGCTCTCTCGAATGACCTTGAAATTCAAACATCCGTAACTTCGTAAATATGGCGGGCCGAGCTTAGATTTTGGGTGCATCGTAATCAGGACGTTACGTACTATCCACTGACCAAGTTTGGTCCAAATCGTAGGGGCTCACCTGATTCCGAATCTTAGATTATAGATTAGGATTCACTTACATCTAACTTGACGACCGTTAAACACTCACGCTTCCTTGCTGGAGCCATAGCTGCGAGCCGGGCCTCAGCAAACTTCCTCATTTCTTCGGCCGAACAGCGCACTCTGGACCAGACCATCTGACCACATGGGTAAATATAAGAACGTTCGGAAAGATAGGAGGGTTCCTCAGCTCTTCATTCGAACAGCGCACCCTGATCCAGACCATCTGACCGCACGGGTAAATAGAAGGACTGGTTCACAATGCATATGCTACATAACAAAAATGACACTTTACATTTGCACAATGCACGGACATAAGCCATGTGTGATACTAAATTTGTTATTACCACAGCTGTCCACAATAAAGCAAACATCTCTAAGAGGCCTAAGCCATCAGCATTGCATTCATTGTTTCTATCGCCTCTACGTCATTGGCCATTGGGCATCGACAATCAAACGTCGAGCGATACTATTCTACTGAACATCGCTTTTACTTACCCCTGCGGTAAACATACCAAAATATGTAGTTGAATTATTTTGTGTGACCAAACAAGTCAAATCTTTCCAAAATGTCGCTATTCTGATGAAGTGAGACACTGTGCATTTCAAAAGGCGGTAGAATATCGAAGATAAAGACGTAACATATTCAATTCAATAAATTACTTATCTATAGTCACCGTGAACTTACCTTGGGAGGTAGCTCAACGCCGGCCAAACACCTTTCTGCAGTCTTCTTTGCCACCATCAGCGACAGGGAAGGGTTCACCTTCTTCAGGTCATGCACCTTGCAGGCGTCCTGCATGCTGGCCTTCACGCAGGTGATCAGCACGTTCGCCTGCTCGGTGGCCAGACATGAAACTGTCATCGGCGACAATAGCCGTGCAGGACACATTTGAAAGCTATTTTAGTTATGATTCATTTAAGTCACGTCACTGGTAGTACACGAGTACAAAATTACGGGTACACGCAAAGAGGCGTGTACCCGAAAATGAGCTACTTTGAACAAGGAGCCAATATATCCTGCAAGGAGCTACGGTTTGACAAGCTACTGTGACTACTGACTATCTATAAAATATCAAGAATTACATAAAGGGAATACTGCATATTAGCCGTTTTCACGACGGAACTTTCGCAGAGGAACTTATTTGATACCTAAAAAGTACCTACTCTTTGAGGCCTTAACATCCCTCAAACTGAAATATTTTATGTTCAAAATAATTTTAGAAGTTTAAATCCGGGCATTCTTTGCCCTCAAATCACTTATTTATTAACAAACACAGCAACTTTCGGTTCCAGTAGCCCACCTTTCGACTATGAGGTATCAAATCAGCGTGGTAACTTGCTCCCACTTTGCTCCCTCGGGTATCTAATTCCGGAATTCTTAAAAACAAGGAAAGTATATATCGAGTTCTCTTTCATACCTATTCAGTTATGTTTTAATGGTGATTAAAATATGGCAAATTTTTTAATTACATTTCATATAAGAAAACACGCAAAACAATGAAACAAAAATAACTACAGCAGATAATTACCTTCAGGTATCTAATTCCGACCAATCAGCACCTCAGTAGGATATGACGTCATACAAGAATGGTGGTGAAGGCCGTTTGCAGTCCCGGCCGGTAGGTCACGTGACCGCCGGGCGCCTCGGGTCACGCGGCGGTCGGGAGTCGGACGCGGGGCGTGGTCGCGGGCGGACGCGCGGGGCATCATGCTTTGCTTTGCTTGCTTTGTCAACTTCATATAACTTACTATCGCATTCGTGTGAAAGCCAAACACTGCTCAGTGCCCTTAGAAATTGAATTTTGGAAAGCTCAAGTCCCTATAGCTCCTCAGGTCGGCAACAGTTGAAGCCTCATCTGAACCCATGTGAAAAAAAAACAAGGGTAAGGAACCTTGTGTTGCTTTTTCTTTTACCGTCATAATTATCTCAAACCATCACAATTTTGAGTTGCCACATTGTCTGCTTCACTACATTCGTGTAAAACTTGGGTGAAGGCTGGTGGCTCAAAGAAAGGTGAAGATATTTCTTTAAGTGCCTAATCCGTGAAATATCCCGGCTTTACAAATCTACACTTTTCATTTTCTCCACGATACATTTTTTAAAATTGTTTAAATTTAATCTACATTTGTTAAAATCGGGGCTTTGGTTTTGTGTAAACTAGATCATAAAGTTTACTATAGTTTTAAGTAACCTGATGGCTGAAGAAAATAGTTATTTTGCTAAAATGATGTGCGGAAATTTGTTGCTTTCCAAATCAAATTACTCATACCTATATTTCATTCAAAATTAGGAGGCATTATTACTGTTTTTTCTTGTAACATGAACTGAGTTTGGGTACGGTGCTCCGGAAACGTTGTGGAACTTTAAGCTAGCTAGAGCAGTTTCCATAAAAATTGTTTAGATAGTTGACATGGCTTGTTGACAACTCTTTTGCTGTTTCTAAAAAAGTGAAAAAAATATTTTCCTGCATTAAGCACACAAGGCATGTTATTCTCATAAGCTATCGAATGTGTGTGTGTGTTTTTTTAAGCTGTTTTTTAAGCTTTGAAGCTGTAACTTCAGTTACTTCACTTTAGAACATATTGCCCAGAATGCGTCACTGATCATGAGCTGGTATATCATATCATATGTAGCAAATACATAAATGAGAATAGTGTGTCATGAATTTTTGTGCATGCTTCTGGATCATCTGTAATTACATCAAAGGCTCGGCTCAAGAGTGTCCTGCCGACCAGCTTATGCCCAACCCTTTCTGTCCGCAGAACGTCGCCTGCGACTCCCGCACGCCGTTTGCCCCGGCCGTCCGTACTGGTCTTCGCGCTGCGAGCCGCGCTGGAGTTCGCGGCGGCGTCGTGGAGCTCCCATCGGGACGGCGTGTGATGCCCGCGTCGAGCTTATAAGCCGTGAGCTTCGATTGGCGGCTCACGCGGTCACCAGCTGTATGTACAGCCTCGGCCCCGACGACCCCGCTAATGGCCGAGACCGGCATACCCCCGGCATGGGTCCGCTGTCCGGCGCAGCGCTGGCCGCCCGCATGCTACTTTTGGCTGTATCGCTGCCCAGCGGGAGCGCGCTCCACGCTGCGGAAGAGGTACACGTTGCGACCCGACTGAGGACCGCAACCGGATGGTGACACGTCGGCCTCTGCGCCCTGGACGGGGCAGGCGTGACCGACGTCACAGTGGAGGAACGCCCAAACAAGACCAGCCCACCGTCGGAGCAGCATGGAAATATCATGTTCTGCCTGGACGTCGGACCCGGCGGCCGCAGTGCACCTGCACACGTGCGGAGAGGGGCGCTGGAGGCTACTCTGGAGCTTCTGCCATTCCGCGGCGCGACTGCTGGCAAAACGGCGGCGATTGAGGCGGTTGGGAACAGCTGCAGCAATGGTGATGGCGGTGATGGCGACATGGCGGTTTGGGACTTCATCTCAGCGCGGCCGCCGCCCAGGCGCCGCTGCGCCCGGCTGCTCAGCCACCTACCGGATGGCGGGTGGCCCTTACGGCCCTCACGCCCGTTCGGTCTGCGGCCACGTTGTGGGGTGGCGGTCGCGGGGTTAGCGGCGTTGGACTTCGTCCTTTATCCAGACTGCACCGTACCATCTGAACGGATGGATCTGCCAAGAAAGATGACATCCAAGGCGGCTATGAGGCGATCACAAAGCTTCACCAAGAGCTTCTCCTTCATGGAGCCGGCCGGCCGTTAAGTCGCAACACCGGCTGCCGAGTGCCAACAGCTGCGTGCGCTGGCGCCGACGCGTTGTGGGCCGCCCTGCTGACGCCCAAGCTGCGATATCAACCATCTATGAATAAGTGGCAGCGGTGGCGGCTTGTCAGTTGTTAACGTGCCTTAACAGACGTTGCGAATAGCCCGCGTTGGAATCACATGGTTGGCAACACAACGCAAGTAAAAATGGGCTTCCTTGATGAACCTACTTTTTAAGCATTGTAGCCTTTGTAATTTTGGATGTTTTGCTGTAGATATTATTTTCTACATATATACTATATAGGCACTCACGTGCTTTAAATCGCGCAATGCAATTGAACCATGGTAAAGACAATGATAAATGAACTGAGAGCTGACATGCCCCATGCTTTGTGTGTGTGTGTGTGTTTTTTTTTTTGGCGAGTCGATAAAAGTGGTTTTGGACACTGGATGAGTTTTTAGGGGTGTGGTGAGGGGGGATGTAATTCCACAGACCTCTGTAAGATTCACTAATGCAGTAGGTCTGTACGGTGTTTAGTTATCGGAGCATTCTTTGAAAGTCGTGAATAGGGCCACCGAGTACCTAAAGCCGTGATATTCCCCCACAAAAAAACTTCTTTTAAATAACCGGGGATAGGTACATGAGCAGAGTAAATGCTATTACGAACGCCTATCACAATGCTGAGCGAATAGGAAAATCCATAGATGGAGAATTGTGCCGCGTTACGGGTGCTCGGGCGCAGCCAATCCACCGTTACCCCAGCGGTGACCTTGACCCGCATCGTCTGTCTCGGCTCCAAAGCCAAACCGGCGTGGAATTGGGAGCGTTCGAGCACTCATGGTCCAGCGCAATTCTCCACCTAAATCCATTCCTGATACACATTTGCTTGCTCATAGTCATGTAACCCCGTTAAATTCACCCAACTTTCATATTGGTCGCTCCATAGACAGATGGCCACAGAGATCAACTTAAAAGGCCATTGTTGCATTCATTTAGTGGAGATCATTAAAGAGCCGTGACAGGCCACAAGTCGCGTGACATCATACGTGTAACGACCAATGACGTCGGCCTGCAAAACCCAATGGAAGCGGCTAGCAGCATGCAATAAAACAGGGCGCTGCTTTCTAAATGTCTGTCGTGCGCCATAAATGAATATATTCTTTGTAGCCTGGCAACTCAGTATCTTTTTTTAACTATTGTACTAGTATTTAATAATTTCATAATTTTATAATTGTGCTTACGCTTTATGTTGATAATAGTGATAAATCCTTAGATAAAGTAAATCGATGTGATATTTAATAGAAAAATAGCAAACTAACGCACCATTCATTCGAAAGCTGGGGAACCTACTAAAAAGAACTACTAAAATTCCTGAGGAACCAAAGGATCAAATGGGGATTAAATAGATGCCTGCTATTCCGTCGTGAAAACGGCCATTGAAACGAACGATAAAACTAGTTTTCATCCAAGGATCTAGTTTTTTCTGCACACCTCTCAAGTAGTCATACCAATGGGCCACTATGGGGTCGGTCATCACCTTTATAAAGAAAAAAAGACGAAAAAAGAAAACCCACTGGAAGCATCGTTAGTCGTGCCACACACGGGTTCAGATGTGTTCAATATTCTTAACAAGGCTGTTGTTCCGTTGCGTTCCAGTAAGGACAAACCCACCTTATTGTGACGCACAAGTCAAAACGTGCTGCAGGATTAGACAGGGTACCCAGAATTAGAAGCTGCACAGTGCACGCCCTTACCTTTCTTTTGGCCGGTACCGATTCGATGCCGTCCATGCAGTTCTGCGACATTCGCTTCATCACGTTCTTGCCCTGAAACAGACGTTAGCATCGTAGAAAATGGATGGCGGTGGTAAGTAGCGTTGGTGCGTTTATATGTACCTTTTCTTGATACACGCAAACAAACTGATAGTCATCTAAATGCCCGTCATTGTGTGCATGTTGTACTGTGCCTACATTCATGCGTCCGTCGGCGTCCGTCCACACGCCATTCTATCCACCCACACGCCATCGCATCCATTCCATATCCATTGGAAGTATCGCCACCGGCCACCGCTAACCCACCTCCGCGTCCCCGGTGTACGAGTCGATCAGTTTGACAATCTCCTCCTGAACCGGCGCTCCGTCGCTGTCCAGCAGGCCCAGCTTTTCAAACACGCACTGCTGGACGGCGTTCTCGTTCACCCGTTTGTTCCTCCTGCGCTTCCGCTTGCCTTTGGCTGAAACATTCAAACACTGCCTCTGAAACGCTAGAAGTATTTGTAACGACAAGCAGAATCGTACTTTATTACAACAAGATGGTATTTCATAACAAAGTTATTTCTGATCTCAAGGTACTCAGCGCGCGTTAGACACCAGAAAACGCACATTCGGCCCCCTCTCCGCCAATAACGCAGGCGCGGATACAAGGGGGGCATGGGGGCCATGGCCCCCCCTTGGCCGATTTTTTTCAAAAATAAAATAAAAAGTTAAAAAGCTGAAAAGGGGGCCTCCTGAAAATAAAGTGGCTATTCATGTTGAGATGTTGCCTGAACAGCTAGATAAGCTCAATAGACGCAGTTTTTTTTTGGGGGGGGCCAACAAGTGGGAAGATGGGGCCTCCAACAGGTGGGATTATGGGGGCCTCCTGGTTTCTAATGGCCCCTCCCTTGGAGATTTTCTGGATCCGCCCCTGCAATAACGTGATTCAAAATGTTCCGTGCATCCTTAGTAAGTAGTAACTAAGTACGTACAAATGTGAAAGGGAATTGTATTTCTGCGTGGTTGCTGCGTATTCAGAAATTAAAGTGTATTTTTATTCGTTTATTTAAAGCTTCGATCTGACACCAGAAATCCTGCTAGAAATAGCCAATTGGCAAAAGAAAGGTGGTCCTGTGGCAGATAATGTGTGCATGAACACCAGCGCACTGTGTCACAGACACCACCTCAAACCTTAAATAGGAGGCAGGCGGGGTCACAGCGTGACACCCGTGACCGGACTGAGGTCATCCGCACGTCACACGGCAGCGAGGGATGTTCTGACTTCTGAGCAGTACCTATCCCCGCCCGAATTCCTTTCGTTTCACATTCGCATTCAGGAAGCAAGTTGGCGTGACAACAAAACCTTTAAACAATTTGGATTTTCACAGTGTTAGGTATTCGCTTTGCGTCGTGAATGACTAGTGGCAATCGGGAAAGGTAAAGCACTGAACGATGAAGCACGGAAAGATGAAGCATAGGACTGAATAATATGCTACGTCCAATGTCCATGGTTATATCCCTACGACTGAGCACTGGATATATGCGGCGTCGATAAACTTTTGATGCCTATGGAAACTGGCTCGGTTCTCGGCCAGCCAGCCCAGCTCTCTCCATTACCTTCTGTCATTTTACTTACCAGCTTCAGTGACTTCGCTAACGCAGGTTTCGGTTACGTCGGTGACCTGAGAAATGCCGTAATATCAATGTCACAAGCTAGGGAGTGGTCCCTTACTGAGGATGCGACGGGACAAGTTAAATGGGCTCCAGTTCTGTCAGACTTTCCTTGATGCTGGCATACTCTAGTGCATAATCTTACATAGGTGGATCCTATGTAGGTCCCCTCACACGAGGGGCAACTGAATTTAACTTGCATGGTTGCTGCGTGTTCAGAAATTAAAGTGTACTTTTATGAAAAGTGTATAAAAAAGTGTAAAAATGAAAAGTGTAGAAATTAAAGTGTATTCATACCCACACTGATGGTGTGGGTATGGGTCTACCCTTAGGTCCAACGTTTGCTAACATCTTCCTGTGTTTCCATGAGAAAAAATGGTTAAGTACGTGCCCGTCAGAATTTCGTCCATCATACTACAAGAGGTATGTGGATGATTGCTTTTTGATTTTCAATGACATTTCACATGTGGATAAGTTTCTCGATTTTTTGAATGGTCAGCATCCAAAAATGAAGTTTACCAAGGAGGTCGAATCAGACGGCTCACTTCCTTTTTTAGATGTCCGGATAAGACGATCTGGAAACTCGCTAGAAACATCCGTTTATCGCAAGCCATCATACACTGGCCTCGGTCTTAGCTTTTTAGCTACATCCCTCTCTCTATTAAGAAAGCCATCCTAAAGACTGCCATCTATCGCGCCTATAACATTAGCTCGTCTTTCAAACTTTTTGATATGGAGATCAGCTTCCTCCGTAAGTTCTTTACAGAAAATGGCTACCCAAAGGCTCTTATTGACTCAGCGATTTCCAAGTTTTTGAACAAACGGTTTACGCCCAAGGTCTCGACGTACCACGTAGAAAAACTTCAAAAATATTTTGTACTTCCCTATTTCGGGAAACAGTCGCTCAAACTAAAAGAAGCAGTAGAATCACTTCTGAAAAAGTACTATCCCTACATGAACCCCAGGCTGGTGCTACGCAACAAACTAAGCATAGGCTCCCTGTTTCGGTTCAAAGACGTTGTCCCTAAGGCTTGCCGCTCTAGTGTCATTTTTAAATTCAGTTGCCCCTCGTGTGAGGGGACCTACATAGGATCCACCTATGTAAGATTATGCACTAGAGTATGCCAGCATCAAGGAAAGTCTGACAGAACTGGAACCCATTTAACTTGTCCCTCGCATCAATGTCACAATGTCAGGTGATATCAATTATAGCAAATACAGTTCAATGATTAAATAACAATTACGATGTCGGCCCATCCCCCCCCCAAAATAAATTGGGGAAATCTTGGGGAATAGCAAGTAGTTCCTCCTCTTTTTTCCGTGACTTGCCTCAAGATATGAATCGCAACTAGAAAATGCATGCAAAATACCAAGCATTGTAAAACCTTATCGGCTAAGAACACTCGTACGATGCCTACCTTTTTTGAAGGCGTAACGCCACACGGCTCGGGGGCACCTGGAAGCAAAGAAAATATGATAATGTGGCGTACTTAAGCGGTCAATGTATACTGTAGGGGTGACCGAGATTTTCGAATTTGCAATTTCAGTTCGGCTCACCTTTTTTCCGATGTAAAATTGAATTTTAAGGTGAGATGTCCTCTTGCAATTTTTTGATAAAAACACTCCTTTCGTAGTAAATTTGCACATTTGTATTTAACCCTCGCCGGACCTATTGGTTTTCTATATGCGCCCCGGCCGAGAATGAGAGGTTGGTACGACCCCCATCGCCGTTTCGCCCCTAATTGAGCTAGAGTCTTGGGGAAAGAACGAGCGTGTGCGCCGTTACAAGACGCAGCGATTCGGACCGATTTTAAGGCCTGAGATTAACTGGTGACCTCTGAGGTCAGGTCAAGAGGCGCAAGACCGGTTCGGTTTTTGGTGAATAACTTCGCTCAAAATGGTCACAGAGCCACGATTTTGTCAGCATCGTGTTTTGCTATATCAGGCGCGTCGAATGGTATACTTTTTGTTCGGGTGAGAGCAAGTTAGGGTGTTGACCTCGGGTCAAGGTCAGGTCAGGTCCCCTTAGGTCACGACCTTGATCAAAAGAGGTTATGCTGCATATCATTCGATTCGGCAGGTCTTCCTGAGTCCATTCGTGACTTTTGCGACTCGCTAACTCAATTTGATCGGGAGTTATTGACGAAAAACTCATATCACCTTAAGTATTTGATACACTCTTTATTTGGCTCATCACAAAACAGGATGGAATGAGGACAGGTGGTGATATTACGCAGTTTGTTCAGCATTTGCATAACCTTTTCCTCTCAGTTTGTTTTGCCCTTCCAAGCGCAACTTCTTCGACTCTTCTCCCAAGCTTCTCCACTTCTACCGTGAGACTCTTCTCCTAGATGATCACTGAACTGGAGGACTGAATCTTGCAATGGATTTCAGTCACTGCGCCAGGATTTAAGCGGAACCAGCTCCTTCACGATCTCTCTCACACCGATCTTCTTTCTCGCTCTTTCTTTTTCGATCATCAGCTGTTCCTGAATCAAAATTCCTCTTTGCAACACAGCCCTTACGGCTGGTAGCTACTTCATTCTGGTTAAACTTTCTACCATTTCCGACCAAATCCCTGATCTTGCCGCCAGATGCCTTCCTGATGGTTCGTTTGGCCTAAGCATCCATCTACGTTTAGCTTTGGGCTATCTGCTTGAATTATGGGCCCTGATGGAAAAGGTATAAAAAGGCATCAGAAATCGCCGCACTCTATCACTGGACTCGGATGAATGGAAACCACCAAACCGCTAAACCTACTGATCCTATTGATATGTTTAATGTTTAATTGTTCAGCTATAGGTGTATAGGTATCTCCATTCTCCACTAAGCCTATTAGCCTAAATATGAAATAGTAGGTAACTGTTTTTCACTCCATCACCTTTTCTATTTCTCTAAACTGCATGTCTATCTGTCTATCTGTCTGTCTGTCTGTCTGTCTGTCTGTCTGTCTATTGTCTACATGTCTGTCTCAGTCTCTCTCTCTCTCTCTCTCTCTCTCTCTCTCTCTCTCTCTCTCTCTCTCTCTCTCTCTCTCTCTCTCTCTCTCTCTCTCTCTCTCTCTCTCTCTCTCTCTCTCTCTCTCTCTCTCTCTCTCTCTCTCTCTCTCTCTCTCTCTCTCTCTCTCTCTCTCTCTCTCTCTCTCTCTCTCTCTCTCTCTCTCTCTCTCTCTCTCTCTCTCTCTCTCTCTCTCTCTCTCTCTCTCTCTCTCTCTCTCTCTCTCTCTCTCTCTCTCTCTCTCTCTCTCTCTCTCTCTCTCTCTCTCTCTCTCTCTCTCTCTCTCTCTCTCTCTCTCTCTCTCTCTCTCTCTCTCTCTCTCTCTCTCTCTCTCTCTCTCTCTCTCTCTCTCTCTCTCTCTCTCTCTCTCTCTCTCTCTCTCTCTCTCTCTCTCTCTCTCTCTCTCTCTCTCTCTCTCTCTCTCTCTCTCTCTCTCTCTCTCTCTCTCTCTCTCTCTCTCTCTCTCTCTCTCTCTCTCTCTCTCTCTCTCTCTCTCTCTCTCTCTCTCTCTCTCTCTCTCTCTCTCTCTCTCTCTCTCTCTCTCTCTCTCTCTCTCTCTCTCTCTCTCTCTCTCTCTCTCTCTCTCTCTCTCTCTCTCTCTCTCTCTCTCTCTCTCTCTCTCTCTCTCTCTCTCTCTCTCTCTCTCTCTCTCTCTCTCTCTCTCTCTCTCTCTCTCTCTCTCTCTCTCTCTCTCTCTCTCTCTCTCTCTCTCTCTCTCTCTTGTGACCGCTTCCACTCCTCTCTCTCTCTCTTGTGACCGCTTCCACTCTTTTCACGCCGATAACGTGATATATCATTTGGTAGTTTCTTAGGATTAATGTTTTAATCCTTTGACTTATGTCTAAATTTGTTCGTGATTATCTCAACACGTTCTCAGGTAGCCTACGCGAGAACGTTTTGTCGGTGATGATGAACGGTTGGTTCGTCGTAACGTCAATAAATGTCTGATACTGGAATCGAAGCACAATTTATACAGCCTTGATTTCCTAAATGTGTTTCATAAAAGTTACACAAAAGTTAAATGAATTTTTAAAGAAGTTCGGGAGGTGATGGTCTCCATTTACCCGCTTCTGAATCCCCCTGAGCGTACCTTCGTCGCTGTCGGCAGCTGTCGAGTCTGCGCCGATCAGTTTGATCACCTGCTCGGGCTCAATGCCAAGAATGTCGACAAGACCGGATGAGCGGCAGGCCCCTGTGAACACACAAAAACCGAGTTTAATGAAATAAATAACAAACGCCACAAAACAACGCATGTGCCAACAACAAACGCAGACGGGTTAAAACGGGTTCAGCTTATAGTCGTGGAAAAACTTGTCCCTGAAGTGGTTAACCATCTATAACACTTTTGTGTGGACTTTTCGGCACGACAGCTGAGTAAAATCGAATATTTAAAGTGTCACAATAGCCTTATTCATTCAATCCTCACCCTTCACCGATTTAGCCGAAGTGAAGGGGAAAGCGGGATAAATTGGCTGTTTCCCAGCCAGCCATTTGGTTCGGCTCAAGTCCGCTTTGCCCCGGTAGCTCTGACATGCCCGTTATGCGCCAAACTCCATATAGAAGCGGACATTGGGGTTCAGATTGTTATTATGAGTAAAATATAAGTCATTTTCTTCATTAAACGGTTGTTTCTCTATGCGGCGATCATTTATGAAGCACGCCACACTTAGTTACCAACGAGCGATATCATAATAGCTCCATTTTTGGCAGTATACTGGCTGCGGCCGAGTGCGACGGTGGCGCCGACTATCGGCTACTCTTGCAACTAGGCCTCGCGGTGGCTCCGGCGGCCAAACTTCAGATGAAAACGTCCCTGTGTGGAGACTTAACGATAAACTGAAAAATGCGATATAATGCAATTAAATTCAGTAATATGCGTTTACCCTGACGTATTTTTTACCAATATTCGGGGAGAATTGGCACCGGGGATTTGGTAGGAGAAGATAAAATGTTTATGAACATTCCAAATTGTATTATACCTACATTGCATTGTCAAAATATGTCTCAATATATGCGAGACGTCATGCTGTTTGCCGTAGTATAGCGAAATTGTTTCATGAAAGACTCAATACAAATATAACGGGAGTGATGTATCTTAATTTCATTTGGTGGTGCAAATATTTTTTCTTCCATGTCCCGATCCCGGGTCGAATTTTTCTCTCCTATGGATAAAAAGTGCAGAGATGTGTTGCTCAGTTAGTGAGCTACAGCGTAGTATAGCGACATTTTCATGTAAGCTGCCTATTTTTTCATACTGTGCTAGTTTCCACGAAAATCCGTGCATACACTGACCAATATTTTTTTCTTCCATGGCCAGATCCCAGGTCCAATTTTTATCCGCTATGGATAAAAAATGCATAATAAATGTTGCTCAGATGGTAATCTACAGCGTAGTATAGCGACATTTTTATGTAACTACCCTATTTTTTCATACTGTGCTCATTTCCACGAAAATCCGTGCTTACGCTGACCAACATTTTTCTCTTCCATGGCCAGATCCCAGGTCCAATTTTTATCCGTCATGGATAACAAATACATAGATATGCTGCTCAGATAGCGAACTACAACGTAGTATAGCGACATTTTTATGTAACTTCCCTATTTTCTCACACTGTGCTCATTTCCACGAAAATCCGTGCTTACACTGACCAACATTTTTTTCTTCCATGGCCAGATCCCGGGTCCAATTTTTATCCGCCATGGATAAAAATACATAAATATGTCGCTCAGATGGTGAACTATACCGTAGTATAGCGACATTTTCATGTAACTTTCCTATTTTTTCACACTGCGCTATCACCCATCAAAATCCGTGCTCTCACCGACCTTAGTTCTCTGGCGTTGCCGATAGGCGGCGCTGGCGTCGCGTCCCGCGCTATGGCCGCGCCTGGCGCATAACGCAGACTTAGGCCGGTATAAGCGGAACGCCGTCAGAGCCGGAGTTTGGGTCGATATGGCTCTATTCCGCTTAGCCAGCCCTTGCCGTAGCGCTCCCGAGTTGGTATGGTTTCGAACTGCCAAGTCTGGCTCAAGTCCGGCTCCCTGCCACGGCTCAAGTCGGTTACAGGACAATTTCCGAACTGCGTTTTGCCGAATGCTTATTCGCCGAATGTCAATATGTCGAATGCATTTTGCCGACGTGTCAAAAGGGCGAAGTGCTAAAAGTCGAAATGCAATTTGCCTGTATTTGCCTTTTGCCTTTGCCTGCAATCTCTCCTAAGGCGTTGCCATCGGCACTGCACTGCTTCGCCACGAGCAATTTGATGTTTATTTCCACATGGTATTGGTGCTTTTAAACTTGTTTGTGCCATGAATAATTATTAGTTATGAAATCAGGAGATCAAAGGATATCATGTGACTTGCTTCTTACTTGGGGATTGCACCAAAAGTAAATTGGTGATCGGTCCTAAGTAAATAAACCTAACCTAACCTAACCTAGGTTTGCAGATTTACATTTCGGCAAAGTTACATTTCAACTAATTGACATTTCGGCAAACTGCCAATTCGGCAGATTGACATTTCGGCAAATTGACATTTCGGCAAACTGACATTTCGACTAATTGACATTTCGACTAATCGACATTTCGGCAAATCGCATTTCGGCAAATTTACATTTCGACTAATAAGCATTTCAGCAAATTGGCATTTCGGCAAAAAGGCATGTCGGCAAATGGCATTTCGACTTTAAGCATTTCGACTTTTTGACACGTCGGCAAAAAGCACATAGGCAAAATGACATTCGGCGAAATGCATTCGGCAAAATGACATTCGGCAAATCGCCTTTCGGCAATGTGTCCGGACACCGCTCAAGTCTGGCTCCCTACGGCCAGGTCCGGCTGCCTCGTAGCTGCTCTGGCTTACTGTAGCTGAAGTACGGTTGAGAGGTACGGCACGGCTAATGCGCGTAAGTCCGGCTGTGGTGCGGGCGAGCTCCGTGATCGTGTGTCAGCTCCAGTAGAGCCTCAGACCTTGCCCGTATTTTAGCCTGAGCAAATGCCGGAGCTAGCCAGAGTGAAACCAGCTACGGCCCAGACCAAATTTGCTGGCTGTTTTTTTAACCGATATAGCACAAACCTATGGCACACTTCTGCACTCTAAATGCCAGCTAGACGTCTATCCATATTGCTCTTTGGGACATTTAGCATTAACCCTCGCCCTTATTGGTGTTTTGCCAGCCGCGAACGTATAGGGGGGGGGCATAGGCGTCGCCAGAGATTTTCGGTTGGGGGGGGGGGCAAAATCAACTTTTGTGTTAAAACTTGCCTTTCCCCAGTCATTACTCACTCGTTTTACATATCATTCGACGCGCAATGGTGCGAGGAATCCGATGGTGACAAAGGTTTCCTTCTAGCTATGACATGTAATTTTTACAGAAAAATTCGAAATTTTGAAATTCCATGACAAAAACGACTGGTAGAATTATAACTAGTATATAGTGGCTGCGATTGCCGACGCACTGCAGAGGGCCCCTGTGCAGACGCTCGACTCTAATGATCATTACCCAGAAAAAGGTGAAAAACGCTCCATTTAATCGGATCACCCTGCTAAAACATCCATTCACGCATGCATGCAGAGGTTTTACGTGAAATGCATAGGACTTATCCCAGCCGCCGATCGTAGCTAAGTTGGGCATTCGGCGGAGAGTGAATGTCAGAAGTGTGAATCGGAAGTACCTAATTCATCTTTGCTCTAGTGAGAGGAAGTGTTTTGTTCACTCGAGTGTGAACAAAAGTTTCTCGTTTTTCGTGTGAAGGGAAGCGCTGCAAACGTGCACAAAAACTGTTAAACGGAACCAAAAGTTACGCACGGCATAGCGGCAAGGGATCCATCAGAGATAGGTTTGGGACTTCCAGGCCATTTCAGGCCACTAAGGGTCAGTCTCAGTGCTGACTCTCAGAAGCATGCTTAGGGTCCCGGAGATCGGCGTGGGTCACCTCAAATATTTACGTGTACGTGGTGCTTTAGGGCTTTCCGAGCCCAAGGTGGGGCCCTCAGAAGCCAGTGTGGGCGGCGGGCGCTAAGAGACTAGGGTGAGCCTGGAGCCCTCGGATAACAGTGTGAACCCTCGGGGTCTGTGTCGAATCCCTAAGGACCCTACGTAGGGACATAATAAACATGGTGTTGCGGACCTCAGAGGGACACGTGAGCTGTGACCCCTCAGATGCCGGCTTGGGGTTAGCAAGGTCTGTCGCCTCCAAAGTTTGACTGAACTATCAGAGGCCAGTTAAGGTTCTCAGAAATGTTCGAACTTCGAAGGCTCGAAGATCCCTGTATGGGCCCTCAGAGAACATGGACACCAGTGGAACTTTCAGAGGCCGGTTTGGGCCCTCTGAAAGCTTCTTTAGGGATCAGTGGAGCTCCTTAGGAGCCTTTGTTTAAAGCAAGCTCATGAGCCCTGCGACACTTGTACGGTACTTGAGCCTGTCGCAGACATTTGACGAGAGTTGAGAAATGCCCCTAAGATTTCGTTTCACGCTTTGAACGAAAATTGTGTCAGCACTCCAAAACTTATGAAAATCAGCTGTAAAATGTAATAAAGAACGAACTAGGAACATGGAATGGATCGCAGCATTGACATTTCCGAGTCTGGACTCGGAGTCTTGAAGATTTTGGCGACTGCGAGTCAGACTCTGATTTGAACTGCACGCTCCAACCGAGTCTGACCTCACAGGCATTCTCAGAAAGGTACCCCCATTTTTTCCCGACTCCAAAATCTCATCGGATCTGTATCGATCTCAGGGGGTGCCCGGTCCGAGGTTGGGGGGCAAGCTGCCCCGCTTGCCCCCCCGTGGCGACGCTAATGGGGGGGGGTCCGTTAGACCCCCTTGCCGTTCGGTTCTTGGTCGAGCTAGAGCTTCGCAGATAAAACGAGCGTGTTGCCCGTGACGAGAGGAAACCGAAAATACCCAACTTGAAGTCCTAGGTCATTGGTTAACTTTCCAGGTCAGGTCAATGACCCAAAAGCCAAGAAAATGGGGACCTGTCAGAAGTCAGAACTTTGTAAAGTGAGGTTATTGTGGTTTTTTCGGGGTAATGATCACGAATTTGATTTAAGTTTGATCACAGATGATTGTTTCATGCATTTAGGCCAGGTCGGGTCAGGTCAGTCAGGTCAACTATAAGTAGGGGTCCTGCCGGGCATTTATAGTAGGCGTCGACCACCACTGACAGCTTCGTAAGATGTTACAAAGGCACCAAAACTACTTCGTAAATGTTTAAAATTAAAATTGGTTGCTACATAAATTCGAAATCAGCTCCAAAACTGGCCTAGAAACATGTAAAACTCGAAGTGAAACAAGGTCATCAAATGTCAAAGATCTTGACCTGACCTCCGTCACTCCGTGTGACCTTGACACCCACCATAATGCATGGGACCAACATCTTTTGTCACATATTTGAACGTTTAAAACCACAAAGACTGGAAACGCGCGGATAATGTGACTGACATAACTCGTAGCCGAATCGCGATTCCGGCAAGGCATTGTCTCAAGAAATAAGTGATAGGTCAAAGGTCATTTGGGTCAGGGTCATTCAATTTCCAAGTTATGTGTAAAATTGATTAACTCAAGGGTACTGAAAGATTCGACGCGATCGGCCACTTTTTGCGGAAGTTTTCTTGTCGCGGTAAGCCGAACGGGGTCCGTCGACCCCGTCCTTAAGTGCGAGATCGTCGCTTCAGAGAGTTCCAGTCAAGATTCCTTTACTACTCGTTTCAGTCGCTTCGTCTCATTAAAGAGCTCTAGTTCCATTAGCGACGAAACGGCGAAGGGGTGGTGATCGGCCTCTCCCCTAGCCCGGGACTTATGTTCTGTGTAAGTTTTGTTGTCGATTGCCGCCACAAAAAACGACGACACGCGCGCCACACGAGGATGATTTGAAGCGAGTAACTTCAATGCCCTGTACCAAGTTCTTCGGACATTATGCTATGCACGGCACCCAGAAAAAAAATTGTCTCGGCATCCATAGCGGTGCAAGACCTAAGGTATGGAATTCGAAAGAGCTAATATTACGACAGTATAGCACGACCTCTGCTCACCAATGGCCATGAGGCCCAGCAGGGCCGTCGCCGTCCAGAGCTTCATGTCTGCTGCTAGTCGGACACTGCGCGGGCCTGGCGCCGCTGCGGCGGCTCCCAGTCTACGAGCGCTGCTGGGCGACCCCCTCCCCGTTTGGGAAACGACAAAACCACGGCAATGTCAGGAGCTCACTCCGAATATGCCGGGACGGGTGCGCAGTCAAGTCAATACCACACTATTGAGCTGTGTACGATACGGCTAATTCCATAGAAACTATGTGGTATCCGCATAAACAAAAGAAAGACACGACTGACCCCTAGTCTTATTTCCCAATTCCCATTTTGCTATTCAATAATGCATGTCGACCGGCGTCTGACGCGAAGACCCTGAGAATTAGGGCGATACACTGTGTGAAAACGCCGTGTGCAGCTTTCATTTTTCATATTCGTACCTATCCCGAGCCATCATGCATGCATACAGACGGACAGATAGCCTCTGATACCGTATACTTTACACCTCATCCCCCTTTAGGTTTTTCGCAAGCATAAAAAATGGCGTGTGGCGCCACCGTTTTGTATATCGTATCATGCATCCTTTCTAATGGTAATTTAATGCTCTTTTGAGCTCTGCCTTCCCCGTATCACTACGTCGCCTAGGAGCCGTCTTAGAATTTTGAGTTAGAGTTACAGTTAGCAGTTTTTTTTCAAACACCCCCAGGCCCCAGCAAGGCATGTGTATCCAGGACCCCCAGCATGGCGTGGGTTAATGTGTGCTGAACGGTGTCCGGACAAATTGCCGAAAGGCGATTTGCCGAACGTCATTCTGCTGAATGCATTTCGCCGAATGTCATTTTGCCGATGTGCTTTTTGCCGACGTGTCAAAAAGTCGAAATGCTAAATGTCGAAATGCGATTTGCCGACATGCCTTTTTGCCGACGTGCAAAAAGTCGAAATGTCAATTTACCGAAATGCTTATTCGCCGAAATGCGATTTGCCGAAATGTTGATTAGTCGAAATGTAAATTTGCCGAAAGGTCTATTTGCCGAATTGGCAATTTGCCGAAACGTCGATTTCCCGAAATGTCAGTTTGCCGAAATGTCAATCTGCCGAATAGGCAATTTACCGAAATGTCGATTAGTCGAAATGAAAATTTGCCGAAACGTCAATTTGCCGAAATGTCAATCTGCCGAATAGGCAATTTGCCGAAATGTTGATAAATCGAAACGCTATTTTGTCGAGACGCCAATTTTACGAAATTTCAACTTTCCAAAATGCTAATTGATCGAAATGTCAAACTATGAATTGATTTTTAACGGAGCCTTACCGTCCTTGAGCTATTCAGGACAGCCAGCATTCCACATCTGGTTCTACCTGAGACAGGTATTATCTTCCCTCCTCGGACTCCGATGGGTGATGAAATGGCGCACACTGGTTAGGGTTAATTGTTAGTCACTTACAGCGCTGGTGGTCACCGACTTTGGTCCTCATCGACCACTGATGGGCCGGGAGTGAATCCGGGCATTGGTCGTTCTCCCCTCATCGCATCGTGACGCTCCGGCTGGCGAGGGCCGTGAGAAGGCGGAATCGGGGAGCCGACCGGCAGACGGAAGTGGACCCGTGGGGCCGGCGGACGGCGGTGGATCTCGGGAGCTGCCAGACGGAGGCAGATCCGAAGAGCCGGCGGATGGAGGCGGATCCAGAGAACCGGTGGGCCAAGGCCGATCCAGGGAGCCGGAGGGCGGAGGTGGATCCGGGGAACCGGCGGACGACGATGGATCCGGGTCGGGAGGCCGGCGGGCGGAGGCGGATCAGTGGAGCCCGCAGACGGAGGTCGAAAGTGTCGTGCGGCGGCGAGTAGTTCTCGCGATGGGCTCTACGCGCCGAGCAGGCGTGCCGCTTGTGAGTGACGGTGCGGTAGGATGGTGTTGTTTTGCGTGTTAACAGTTTTTGCTTTGTGAGCGTCATGTTTTTATGTAAAGGGGGCGGGGTGTGGTACGTATCATGAGCCGTCCCCCCTCCGGCAGGGACTGGGATCGCCCATGCCTGGGTCGGAGCAGAGGCCGTAAACGCGCGTGCGTGCGCCGGCACGGCGGACGGAGAGCGTGGAGAGCCGGCACGGGAAAGTCCCGCGCCGGGTGTGACCGATATCGTTTTGTGAAGCGACGCGTGACCAGAACAGATTATGCTGTTCTCGGCCGGACTGTGGTCAGGAGTCGCCGGGCCGATCAGTGCGAGAGTACGTACAGAAAGAATGACTTCTTCTGCCACTCTTCAGATTCATCAGATTCAGATTCAGATTCAGTGTATTTATCATATTCCTCCATACATTCGAGGCTTTTCACATGACACGTCAGTTAAATGGTAAAGGTAAGAAACAGTAAAAAAAAAAACGGGGTTATGCTATGCTAAAAACCACACATGCTAGTTCACATATCGAGCAGCACTCGTTCCAATGCTCGCTTAAAACCGCCCAGGCATTGACACAGCATCTCGCACCTCGTTTGGTAGGTCATTGTACTTCCTAACTCCTCTGTTGAAAATCCTCCTCTCTCCCGCACATGTTCTGGCCCTCACAGTCACCAGCCTATGAGCATACCTACTGTTAACGCCAGACGCCTTGAGACCCTAATTTTTCGCGATTATTTTAAAATGCGTGGAATAATTTCAACCATATTTAGGAAATAGCTGTTTCAAGACCTGCCGAAACTTTTTCTTCAAATACATTTTGTTGTCACTTAAATATTTGTGGCACTTGTCATTGACTCGTAATGTTAACTGTTTTTTCATCCTGGATAGAGGCTTTCATACGTCATATGACATTAGGCTCCGCCCACGACTGCGGCATTGACCCGTGCCAATCAGCGACCTCTCTACAAACGACACCCCTGCCATCTGTAAAGGACTATGAATTTCGCTGACGTTTCACGTGCTATGAATCGATTGCAGCAGACCGTCAAGTAAATGTTAGGCTCTTGTTGACTCTTGTAGGTATATGGGACCAAGAGGACCATCACTCCTCAATCTACTACTCACACATGCTTCGAAAAAACGTTAACGATTCCTAACAAATACGATTTTCGATGTAGGATATCTGTTTGGTTAAATAGGTACTAGCGAGCCTTATGATGTGAAGCGAAGGCAATTAGCTAATTATTGCGCTGGTCGATGGGTGCATAGCGATGTACAAATCAGGAGCTACTTGATTACATCCGACATCCCATTATCGCATTATCTGCAACGCCATAGGCTTTAAATACAGGTGAATATTTCCTAACCTTATGTCAGTTATATGCCATATGCCCGTCATTTGCAGCTTATAAAAAATAAAACAAATATCAGCGAACATATCAGCATTGTACAAGCAATGCCCATTGAGCATTTATGGCTCCTCGGTCATCATGTCGCTCTTTGGGCACTGTCAGACAAGACGTTACGCACAACTCCGCCGGCTTTCGGCACCGCTCGACCGCCCCCGCTCCCCGCCACAGCGAGTGACCGCGCGCCGGCCCGAAACCGCCGCAGGCCAAGACCACAGAGGCGGGGCTTAGCTGTGACGTCATAACGCATCACAGACTGACTGGTGATAGCCTCTACACGCCGGGTGAAAATCTGGCTAGAAAATTAACATTACGAGTCAATAAAAAAAAATAATAAGAAGTGCCTGAAATATTGAATTGGCGACAAAATATCTGAATTGTAAAAGTTTCAGCAGGTCTTGAAACGGCCATGTCCTGAGCTTGGTTGAAATTCTTCCATGCATTTAAAAATAATCGCGAAAAATTAGGGTCTCAAGAGGTCTGGCGTTAACAGTAGTTCGATGCTCATGATCGGCAGCAGAAAACAGACTCAGTTCGCGAGGTTCACCAGTGACAAGTATGCGGCGTATCAGACACATCTGGTGATACGTGACAAGTTGCTGTGCGGTCATTAGTCCGAGACGACGTACCTCTTGACTAATGTGATCATATTTGCTTTTGCGGCTAATGACTCTGGCACAAAAATTGATCAGTTTTTGTATGCGGTGGAGTTGTGTGGCTCCGCACGTACCATAAATCGATATGCAGTACCTGATCATTGACAGAACTAATGCGACAACAATTTGTTTCATCAGTGAGACGGGAATGCCGTGGCTCAGGCAGACAAGTGCAATCAAAGTGCCGGTACATTTCCTCACAACGTGGTCGATACATAAGCCTGGCGATTCCGGGCTAATATGGGAATAACGCTGGCCCGGCTGGCCCGAACTACAAACGCCTTGGAAGGCTGGCATCATGGCTTCCAGAGTCGAATGGCCTGCAAGCATCCAACTTCCAAGCACGGCCACCCTGCTCGAACCCTGCGGGATGAGGACACGGGACGCGCAGAGCTGGACAAGTTTATCCGTGGCCTGGAGCCATGGCGGCGACGCCAGTGGGTAGTGCTGGCAGCAAGGGTGCGGCGTACAGTGGAGCGCCGACAAGACGGTGAGCTCAGTGTTGCGGAGCTGGTGCGAGGGATCGCGCACAACTTCGCATGCACCGTCTTCGCTCATGCACCGTCTTCGTTCGCAACTGTCGTCCTTCTGCCCCCCCCCCCCCCCAGGCAGCCGTCCCCGTCTCCTGGCAGTGTAGGTCATGGACGTGTTTCGGAGGGCTGGCAGCCTAACCGATATACACGATATACCGATGCATGTGTATTGTGTAGCGCGGTGGGAGAGCTTAGAGGAGTAAATACATGCGAGTACGGGTAGTTTGCTTGACGAACGGTTGTTTGCTAGTGTGATATCTGAAAATAGGTCGATTTGATTAGTCTGTTTGACAAACATGATTGTAGATTGAAGATAGGAAGTAACTAGATTAGAGTGATGGATATGTACGTTGACTGCATAGTTCATGTGATTGATGAAGTGAAACTGACAAAGACAATACATTGCATATGGAAACCGCTGTAATAATGGAGCGAGCGAAGCCAGCGAAGTGTTTTTTTTTTTTCAGAGCGAAGGCACATCTCGACAAAAATGCATGTAGTGGAAATGATATTTCAACTACATAAATGACATTTCGACAAATTGATATTTCGGCACATTGCCATCGCCGTAAATTGGCATTTCCACATATTGACGTTTCAGCTAATTGACATTTCGGCAAATTAGGTAACATTTCGACTGACATTCCGTCAAACTGGCATTTC